AAAAAAAAATCTGCAAAAAAATAAAAGGTTTTCGAGATCCTTCCCCGCAAAGTACAATTTTTTTTATATTTTTACAAAAAAAATTGAAAAAATCGGTAATGATTGTTCGTTATCTTTGAATCTACAGGGCCTAGCAAAAAGTGTTGTATGCACAGTTTATAGAAAATTTTATTACCTTTTAAAAGCTTCAAACCGTTTTGGAATTGCAAATATCTCAAAAACGGTACCATAGAATTAAAAATAACCTTGATTTTCGGAATCAGGGGGTGATTTTACATAAGAATTTCATAACGGCGCGCCGGGTAAAGAGAAAAAGTTGAAATTTGTGGTCCAGTGTTACCTGTATCACGATTGGTTGAGAGAACGCGCAATACTGGCACCAAAAATGTGCATGTCAATTCAATCAATTATCAAATTCTAGAAAAATTGCCATATGAAGTGACAACATATAAATCTGTTGACAGCGCAATGAATCTAGATGACGCAGTGAATTATCCAGTTGAATTTTTGAATCCAATGGAACCGCCTGGTATGCCGCCACATTGTTTGAATTTAAAGGTCGGCTCATTAATTATTTTACTTCGGAATTTAAATGCTCCAAAACTGTGTAATGGCACAAGACTGGCAGTAAAAACATTTATGGCGAATTTAGTTGAAGCAACAATACTGACTGGCAAAGCGAAAGGTGAAATTGTGCTCATACCACGTATTCCACTGATAAAAACAGATATGACGTTTGAATTCAAGCGTTTGAAATTCCCAGTGCGTCTAGCATTTGCCATGTCCGTCGACAAGGCGCCAGGACAAACTCTTCAAGTATGCGGATTGAAGTTGGAGGAGCCGTGCTTTTCGCACGGACAGCTATACGTGGCCTGTTCAAGAGTTGGCATTCCAAATTGTTTATTTATTCATACCCAAGATGGAAAAACAAAAAATGTTGTATATCCAAATTCAGAAATCAAAATAAAGAATCAAACATTTTGAAATAAAACAAATGATATATCTTCATATAGAAAAATTCCAGGATTTTTCATCAATTTTTCAATATTTGGTGTAGAGAAGCACACCGGGGTACCGCTATTAATATTATAAATATGAAAGTTTGGATGTTTGGGAAATCATCGCGCGGAAACTACTGGAGGGATTTGCATGAAATTTGATATACAGATAGCTTATGGGCCGGATTGGTTAATAGGCTAATTTTTTTAAGAATTGCCACCCACTAAAAAAGTTTAATTTATTTAATATGCGGGAACGATATAACGGATTTGCATGAAAATTTGCGCACAGATAGCTTATGACCTAGATTGGAAAATAGGCTACTTTTCTTAAGAGTTGTCGCCTGTTAAAAAGGTTTTATTAAATTAATACGCGGAAACGGCTGAACGGATTTGCATGAAACTTAGCACACGAATAGCCTATGACCTAGGTTGGAAAATAGGCTACTTTTTTAAGAGTTGCCATCTGTTAAAAATGTTTAATTAATACGCGGAAATGAAAGAACGGATTTGCATGAAATTTAGCACGCGGATAGCTTATGACTTAGGTTGGAAAATAGGCTACTTTTTTAAGAGTTGCCATCTGTCAGAAATGTTTAATTAAATTAATACGCGGAAATGAGTGAACGGATTTGCATGAAAATTTGCACACAGATAGCTTATGACCTACAGAGGAAAATAGGCTCATTTTTTGGAAGAGTTGCAGCCTGTTAAAGAGGCTTAATAAAATTAATACGCGGAAACGACTGAACAGATTTGCATGAAAGTTTGCACACAGATAGCTTATGACCTAGATTGGAAAATACGCTACTTTTTTAAGAATTGCCACCTGTTTGAAAATGAAATTTTGCTCACAGATTGTTTATGACCTGGATTGAAAAATAGGCTACTTCCTTAACCGGTTTCCCGATCAGAACGAAATTTGGTACACTTACTACAGATTTCGGAAGGATGGTTTTAGACTGAAAGTAGTTCCGATAACTCAATGCCCCTCCCATACAAACTGGAATTTTCATATTACATACATATCTCTGGAAGTATTTGTGGGAGGAAACTGGAACTTGGTATAGAGTTATTTATGTGAAATCAATGTTGGCATTAGTCGATTGATTTTTTAATCAATTAGTTAATTCGATTAAATTCAATCTGATTACAGTTAATCATGATTAATTTTAATCTGCCTAAACAGCTAATCTTGACCGCGATTCAAAAAAATGAATTTTTAATCATTAACTCTTAATTTGATCAAGTAGAATTAATTAATTAATTAATGGATTAATTAATGATTAATTCATTTATGCTGGAATCTTCCTGTGCACACAAAGCAAGTTAATCCGGTGTTTAGGCCTTAAGCCTAAATATTTCCAGAAGATAATGCACCACCCTAATGTGTCATTCACATATGTGTACATTTATGCATGCATACTTGTACACATGTATATATATTATATTCGCGCCGTTAGTTTAAGTTTCCCGCCGGATAAAGTATCATTCATTGAATTTCCCCTCAACGTCTTTTCTTTGTCCGGCGGTTCGAACGAAAATCACGGCTTTAAATTTTTCACTTTTTCATCGGGAGACCAAGGAGAAAGAACTGCAGCTACCAGGCCACATTAGGTTCAGGTAAAACCATTGTAAACCAACATATATACATCACTTCAAAATACTTGGACAATTAATAAAACCATTAAACTAAAACGAGTTTTATTTGTCTTTTTTTCCTCATTTTTCAAACNACATCAATTCAAAATACTTGGACAATTAATAAAACCATTAAACTAAAACGAGTTTTATTTGTCTTTTTTTCCTCATTTTTCAAACCTCATTGTGACCACTTTGCGCACCAAACTTGAGCCGCACTGCGTCACATTGACGTTTTTATTGGTCCTTAGGAGCTGTGAAACCAACTTACAGTCCACATTAGAAGAAAAAGCGAACCCAAACAAGTAAGAAAGTCTAAGTTCGGGCGGAGCCGAACATTAACTACCCGGCGCAAGTAATAAATATATGTTTTCCACCTTTCCGAAAGCTACCGCTACATGATAAGCCGGCGTGTATAAATTTTAAGTAAACTAGCGTCCTTAAATTTCAAAATATTGAAATTTCAAGCATTTCTGAAATTTACCGTTATATGAAAAGCGGCCGTAATTTTAGTCCGATTTCAACAATTTTCAATGGTTTACTTTTATGTGGCAAGCACAATAACCATACCGAGTTTGGTACAAATTGCTAGAACGGTTAGCGAGATACATATACGTGATCATAAGTGGGCGGTGCCACGCCCATTTTCCAAAATTTTATCATAAACGTATTTCCTGGCAAAGAATTGTTGCAACCATCATTTTGAATAAATTAGCTT